TGTGTCAGGCCTGACCGTAGGTGCCAGGGCTGAGAGCGTTGGTGTGGAGTTCTACGATATGCCGGGACCCCAAAAAACCTGCGACTCGGGTCTAATTAACCTTAAGAGTATCAAGTAAGTAAAGGCCCCAAAGCCAGTCAAAAAAAAAACAGCAACTTAAAAAAAACACAGCAACTTCCTAATTCTACTTACTTTTGGGGTTCAGGTTAGGAGCTCAGGGCTTGGGGGTTGAGGTTTAGGAACTTGGTGTTCAGAAGCTTCGGGCCCGGGCGCTGCGGGGTTTGAGAGTTTCAGTCTGAAGGCTACTTCCTTAGGCTTGTGCAGTGTTTGGAGTCACCAGCGTGAAGGTTTTTGTCACGCACCCTGAGAGCCCTCGCGGACGCTTTATGGTCCAATTTCGGAAACTTGTCATTGCCTGAAGCTTGAGGGTGTGAAGCTGTGGCAGGATGCACTTAAAGTTGGGCAGTGCCTTAACTGCGAGGAAGCCTCCAACATTTGTTCGGCAGTCTATTGAAATCATACGTGGGGGGCTACAAGAAGATTTTTCCGCTGAACAAGTTTTCAGCTGCCTACATGAATCCACAGCGCCTCGCGCACTGCACGGGGTTTGGTCAACTTCGGAGCTTGGTGGCGGGACCTCTCAACACTCCTCAGGGACATCTCAGGCCCCTTAAGCAGCCATTTGGGGGATTGTCAAAACTATGGTCCCTTTTTGGGTCCCTATTATAATACGGGGCCTAATACGGGCCTTAATTTAGGGGACCCAAAAAGGGACCATAGTTTTGACAATCCCCCATTTTAGGTGTGCTTTTATGCGTTTTAGTATGGAACCCATGGCAGCCTAAACCTAAGCGCCACACTTATGTTTTTGGGACCCCGAGCCCTGGTAATAGAGCCAAGGTCAACGCTGTCATTGGTGCCCCTGGTAGTTCCCGAGGCCGGAGGTCGAGACAGGGGTCTTCAGATTCAAACAGCTTCAAACGAGCTTGGGTCCAAGTTTTGTTGCTTAGAGATCTTTGGCGCTTGGATCGGAGGCTGGGCTTGCTGGTGTGTTCCGTTTTCCAGGTCCCTCTGAGAAACTGCCAGCATTGGATCAATACCTTATTAGTCAAGCATTCCCACCATTTCATTAATTAGGAGGATGCGGCACGCCCGTTGGGGCTTGCAAGTTCCTCGTTCTCCAGTGATTGGTGGCCGTCATGGCCACCAGGGTCGTCGAAGGTGAGATATGCTGCTGTTGGGGCTTCATCAGCCACCCAGGTGGGTCACATGCGATTTGAATACAGCGTGAGCGTTCGGATCTCCCAGTTCCTGGGAAGCCAAGTTAGGCCCAATCAATGTCAGCGCTCATCCTGAACTGTGATTCCACTCAAGGACAGCTGCTCATACCCAGCTATTGCGGGCAAATTTTCCAAACTCTGAGTGAGCCGAGTCAACAGTCCCGAGTCCGTATTTACTCAGCAACTCAATCGTACCGGCTACCTTCGGAAACCGCACACCGCTGCCCCGAGAACCATGGAGCCCCCTGCAACCTAACTCAGTGACCGACCATCGTGCAAACAAGCCCAAGACTTGCGGATCCCTAGGGATCCCCCTAGAGCCCTAGAAAGGACCCATGTTTCTGAGGACCTTACCCCTTACCCTTCGGCTTCATAAACTGCATGAGGAATGCCTTATAAGCCCTAAACAGCCTAAACAGTAGCCCCAAACCCCAAACTGTGAATGAAGACAAATCCAAACTCCAACGCCGACACAAGAGAATTACCTGGACCTCCAAACTACTGGAAACTATTAAGGCAAGCTTACCAGCCGATTAATGTGCGGTGGAAGACCAGAACTTGTGGCATGCTTGACATTTAGGTAGGCCTTTTAACGAGCACCTGAGAGGAGAACCACCTCGAGCTTGCGATCCGCATGGCCGACGTGCCCAGGCTCGGTGAGGGGGACGGCGCATTTGGAACAGGACTGGGAGATTGGGGTCCTAGGTTACGTGCTCCCAAACTTACATGCAAATCTTGTGCGTCCAGTTTGAAAGACACTAAACATAAAACCGCGCCTGATATCACCCCTGTTTTGCCGCCATTTATCAAGTCTGTCCCCCCAAATACCAGTTTCCATCGGGACTACTTCATGTGGGAGGGGTCAGTGTAAATGCAGAGTCTTGTAGGACCTGCACGGAGGTCCTAGCTGGTTTCTATGAGTCAGTATTATAGTGGCGCATGAACTGAAAATGAGAAAGGCAATCAAGGAGCCTTGTTGAGGGCTAAACTGTGCATGTGCAGTCAGCTCATCATGTGCAATGTGTGTTGCACGGGGGACAGCAAGCCGTCACACCTGAACTGCTCAGAGAGTTGTTATCAGGATTAGAGTCCAGCCAGGACTGGTATGTTGAAAGATACAACCAGGGTTGTCAGAAGCAGCGGGGTCCATTTCTGAGGTTCCTATACGAGGAATATCGCAGACGGAAACTACCATACCATGACAACGCAGAAGGTTCTACGTGTGATACACCATATCCCGTCGTATGTCTGCCAGGGGGCAGCGGGCGTATGTAGGTCCTCGATTTTGTCAGGCCCACATGGCGTGGTTTGCGGGTGGAAGAGTAGCAAAGTAGATCTAATGCCCATATTCGCACTGAGGTCCCATTGTTGTTGTGAGAACCTTTCACGCCGGACCCAGCATACGGAATGGAAGGAAACAGTTTCAAAAGCGTGGAGAGGCCGCAGGCTGTTGCTTTGCGGACGCGTCTTGAGCGAGCAGGGAAGATGTCCGTGGCCGCGGGCTCAGAATTCTGGGGAAGTGTGGCATAGGTGGGGTGCATGTCCAGGTCGTTTCATGTTGAGGTGCACGGCTTCGGGTTCAAGACTTGCGCCTAAAGAGTGGGAGACAGATATCATGAAGAAATTCATAAAGAGTTGCTTGCGGTGGCCATGCCGGCAATTTCCAATTCAGAGTTCCAGGCCGGTTTCTTGGGTAATTGGCATAATGAATTAAAAGATGTAAGTGCTGAACATTCATTGTTGACAAGGATCTTATCAATGCCAGCATCTTTTGACATCCCCCTTTTTTGCCCACAGTAGAGCATCCCCATCTAAGACCTTCCACAGTAAAGCAAAGCTTCGCTCAGGTTTTGAGTTGAAGTATGGGATTTGGATTAGGATTGACAGGACAGAGGTAAAGTTAAGTGTGCAGGCTTAGAGCCATAAAGCTAGGCATAGAACATCTGCAAATGCCCTGGTACGGCTCCAAGCTAGACACAGGAATCCTGTGACCTCGTGTAGATTTGGTGCTCCGAAATGCCAGCTGCCTGTCAAGGGGCTGAAACACCCTTTGCACAGGCCCTCTGTGTGTATAGACAGAACTTATTGGTCACGTTGTGCCAGCAGCACTTCAGTCACAAGGATAAGGACCCCGAAAAGTGCTTGGTGGGGGCTGTACTGGGCACTTTGATTTGCACGCAGCATGGAACACAAAGGAGTACCCTGCAGCTTCACCGGCCATAAGCATGCTGAGGATAGTGAGGGGTATTGGCCTATATAAGTTGGGTCCAGAAGGTCCCTATAAATGTTCCGCCAAGGGGGCTCTACAGAACATACTGCTGCATACAGGGGGCTTGGTAAAACCAAGGGGGCTCTACAGAACATACTGCTGCATACAGGGGCTTGGTAAAATTAGCACGGGGATCATCGTGGGTGTGATCACGCTTGCGCCCAGCTAATCGTTTCAACCTCACCAGTGCTCTCCCCATATGTTGGGCCACTATAGGGATTGTTCGCAGTGAGGGCGCATGTTGTGCAATTTTTTTTGTGGAGTACAGAGTAGTGGGTGTCTTGCCCTCCGCAGCATTTGGAGCTTTAGTCGTTTGAGAGCACAAGCCACTTGAGACGCAACACGCAGACGCAGACGCAGACGCACCTGCATTGTGTCATGGAGCTGGAGTAGAATGCTCTATGCTTGCCGCCTGTCACCTAAATCTGAGGCGCCCTCTGTTCTTGACCAGCCGACGCCAAGGACTTCTATCCAGTAGGCGGCTGCTTGTTTTAAAAGTGCTGGCCTCTGATTTGCAATCCTGCCGCCATGGGGAATGCTGACGATGCTCCCGAAGAGGCGGCTTTATCAGCTTTTAGGTTAAGGGGTCTGCGGGGTTCATAAGCCAGTCCAGGTCTTCGGTGGGGTTTAGGGCATAGACTAGCTGAGTTTGAAGGTCGGGCATTTGGCAAGGGCGGCCGGCGCAGTAGCACCTTTCGCGAATGTTATTATGACCCAGATTCAGCTTGTGTTGAACAGTGGAGGTCTAGCTAGAGCACCTAAACCAGCACTCGGCAGTGTCTTGGTCGCCCCTTATGCCTATGGAAGACGTTGGAGGCCAGTGATAAGGCAGCAGTATGCCTGATGTGCTGCACAACCCGGCTGGTTTAGTAAAGACCTGGAGAGGTTTACTTGCAGCTGATCATCTGAAGTGAGCCTTGAACCCGGAAGCTCCAAAACGGCAACCGAAACTTCCGAACAAAAGTAATGTCCTAACAGCTGCACGGACCTTGCACAAGCCCTTTTTTTAAAGCCGTGAATCTATACTCTACAGCACCTCAAAGCACCCAGCAATTCCAACCAAGCCCTCTACACCTAGATCTTGCAAGCCAGCCGCTTGCAGGGGATCATGCTTGAAATCGCACCGAAACAGCCAGGTAAGCCCAAAGCCCCGCATCCTTACGACACCTTTCAAACGCTATGGCTATGACTCGTTTTTGCTTTGTATGATCAAAAAGCCTTACAACGCCCGATAACATGGCCAGACATCCTCACGAAGTTTTATGAACAGCTATGAACCCCTTGACAGAGCCTCCACCTTGATCTATCCCGCCCCCTCAGGTCAGGTCCGTCTATTTTTGTCCTAAACACCCACAAGTCCTTGAGGCTAGTCGGGGGGTCCTTAGGCCCTAAACCCTGTAGTTGGGGAGGGTCCTTAAGCCCTTAAACAGCGCTAGGGTTTAAGGGTGCAGGTCCCAGTTCGCTCCGAGTCGGCGAGCTCCCGCGCGGGGCCCTGACTTGCAAAAGGTTGGAGACTGCTTGGCTCTAGGAGCCACTGGGTTTGGAGTTCAGGGTCTACATAAACCCTATATAACCCTGCGGCTAGTTTGCGAGATTGTGTTCTGGGTCTTCAGATTAGGCATGTTTTTTTGATTTCGTGTGTGCTGCAGAGTTCCCGGATGACAGAAGACAAGCCGTGGTGGCGCAAGAGACTGCTTGCAAAACAAGCGCTAATACTCTAGCCTAATGAAAGCTAAGGATGTACAAGCAAAGATGCTCACTCGTGGTAGCTCCAAGGCCTCCCCCCGCAGCTGAACCGGCTTCCGGTGGACAAGCTGACCAAGGCTAGGCGGTTCCTTGGGGGCTCACAGCGCGAACGGTGTAGGCCAGATGTGCAAGAGACTGCTACTGTCATTAAGGGTACTTATGTCTGCACCGCAGAGATGGAGGATACTGACTCACCCCAAGTTTTTAGTACCCTTTATACGCAGGACATACCCTCGCCCTGTTCTTTCCTGAAGCTCGCTGCCTCAAAGCCCAAATCCTGGTTTGTAATCCGTACGTCCCCTCATAAAACTTTCATTTGGCACGTCTACATTGGTTGGAGCTCAATATCTTTAGCCAGCCCACGGCCACGCTACCCCAACATGGTCTCCAAGCCTTTGGTGAGTTTCAGGCTTTGGGATGTGCGTTTTCACACGCACGTCCTCCCAAGATCCACGGCTGTCCGTGGAAAAAAACCTGAAGCTAACAAAGCACAGGGATGCGCCTAGGAGTCATAGAGATGGAGGAAGAAGATCAGGGGGCATGGAACCCACCCATGCACACAACGCTATGAGCCGTCAGGTATTTCCTGAAAAGTCTACCTACAGGACCCCAAATATCGGACTTTAAGGGCATGGGGCATGGGTGTTTACTATATAATTAGCTACATGGACTCCTCGGGTAAGGGTATCCTGTTATCACTCCGAGCCTCTCAGTGGCCAGGTGCACGAGGCCTTGGAAGAGTTGAAAGCTGCCGGGCTCACGGACGTCAAGGACGGGAAGTCTGAAGCCACCTAGTTGGGCTCTACTGTAGTTCTTTTGGGGATTTTGCCATTTCCTTGTCGTAAAGCCCTATGTATGGAATCAGTCACCCCATAACCCGAGACATTGCAAGGTCTTTGTGTTGGACCATGCTTTTTTGTGCTTCATGGCCTCCAAGACCTAAGAGCATGCTCCCAAAAGCGAAAGACCCTCAAACACTGCAGTGTCCAGGACCTCGGAGCATTGTCGCAATGCGCACCTCAGCTATGTCTTCGAGAGTGCTTTGAGGTTAATAAACTATCGGGTTGACTTGGTATTAGATGTATCATGTTGTGGCAACCTATGAAGGGCCTGCATTGAAGGACTTTTATCTTGAGTACGGAGCAGCTTGTTTTTACTATGAAGTATTTATCCACAAATAGTCTGATTGTAGCTTGAGTGACCTAGAATTTCAGTTAGTAGCGCTTGCGGTGTGCACGCAAGGCTTCCTTTTTTTTTCTCGTAGCCTCATTCATCAAGGGCTCGTCTTGCTAGGGTCAGCAAGCCAATGTGACGAAGACGTAAAGCGGGGCCCAGGTGAAGGACAACACGAATGCTGCAGGCAATGCGAGATTGCCTTCAGAGGACTGGCTGAAGAGTTTAGGGGCTAGGCTGGCTGTGCGGCATACGGGCAGTACCATGGGACAGAGTGTAGTAGGCATCTTGGGAGAGCTTCACGGCAATTCCTACATCAATCGTCGTGAGGGCTTGTAAATCATGACCACGCGACATTCTCAAGGACCTGTGCTACTTCGATAAAGCGCGTTTTTGAGCGCATCCATGCTCAGAATGGCCACCCCAAGAACAATGATGCAGATGAACCCCAAAATCCCTCTCAGTCAAAGCCTCTGGCAACGAGGGGTGTGAGGTTTTGGAGCAGCATCCCCAAGCAAGCGCCTACACCCTCAGGCCCGGGGCCCAAATCAAGCACGCAACAGCCGGAAGAGACAGCAGCTCGGGGTCGAGCCAACAAATGTTTAGAATGATTAGTGAGGGGCTCCTGACCCTGGGCGAGCATTGAAGTGATGGATGTGCAGGTGCCCAGGCTGTTGATGTCTCACGAAGAGCATAGTTAGAAGGGTGTATATTTGACAGAAGCTAGGCCTGGGGCAACTTAATGTGACAAACCGGCATCCAAGCTTGCCCATGGCTCGAGCCAAAAACAGCAAGTCCAGACGTGTCCTGAAAAGATGCTGAATCGATGGATTGGGGGATCTCTGGGATGTTCCAGAGGCCCTCATCATCAGGATCTGTTGAGCCTCTGGTCCCGTGATTCAGGGGTTTTGCTTTTCGGGACTCGAATCTTGTGCAGGTATAGCAGGGGGCCTTGATTCTGATAAACGCTTGTCTAAGGCTTGAGTCCCCATCCAAGCCCTGGCATGCACTCCCACGACTTGGCACCTAGGTACTATAGGGAGGCCCTACAGCCCAAACCGTAAGCTTTAAATCGCACGGCAGGACCTAACATCTGAGTACATGGGCGGCAACCTTTGGGCATCTTGGCTGATGTTTCTCCCGTGGAGTGCTTCGGGTTTTGTGGTCTTGTTGTTCATTTTTGAATGCGTTGTAGGTTCCTGGACCACCGGACAGGATGCTTGCCAAGCAGCCAAAAGCATATCAGGATCTCGCGCAAGTTACTTCAGCCATTTCGACCGCAATCGCAAACCACAAGAAGGCAGTCACGCCGCAAAACGGCTTTAGCTCCAGGCCAATATCTTGTCGGGTACGGAAGACCTCTCCAGAATCAGAGCCTCTTTTGTTTTGTGTCATGGCATGTTTGTGTTTGCTGGCTGCTTTCAGCATTTGTTTCGTAGCTCATGCTGCAGGTCATGTTCAGTTGGGTATAGCAGGAGCAGTAAAGGGCTGATGTCATCCACGGAGACATTCCCAAAGATGTTTTCCCAAACAACTTTTCAGGCTCCTTTTGACAATTTTCGCGCCCTCAGGCTTGGACCCCAAAACGATGGTTCGACAGCATTCAGGCGCTTGCTGGGTCTTTGGTACGGGCTCAGAGAGAACATGCACGCCTACCATGTACTTCCTGATACTTGCTGTGAAGCCCTTTTTGAGGAGAAACAAGTATGGAGTGGGGTGGTGATTTGGTATTTCGACCTACTAAATCAGCCGTCTGCGTAAAGAGTTCAAGGGTTGTGAAAAGGGTTTCGGATTTCAAGCCCTGAAGCTTGAGAAGTGGACTCCCGCTGACCCACGTCAACCGCCAGCAGCACGTTTTTGTTCACTTGGCGACTCGCTTCTAACCAATCCCCTGCCATCGCCAGTGATATTGGTATGGAAGATTGAAGACAGGGGCCAGGGCAGGGCTTAAATCGTACAAGGAAGCTCAGCCCAGAACTGCTGGTGGTTAGAAGTTAGAGGGAATTGTAGGAATGGATCCCTGTGGTAGTCCCTATGAAGCCCGATCGCCAATAATTAGTTCAGCAGACCTTTAGGAGGATCTCCTGGACAAGCAGGAGTACTGGGGCTCAGGTCACAAGCAAACAGTTTAGCACATCCGCTGCTATCAGTCGCCTACTTGCTTGGGTTTCATAGGCAGTTATTCCTCATATTATAAGTATGGGCATAGACATTTCCCAGAAGATTCCACGCAGTCATGGAGACACTTTTGCTACCTCGAAGCCTGCTGAAACTAATGTTGGAAGGGGTGCAGGGACATGTCTGCCGGAGAGCAGGCCAAGCTCCGCGTCGTGTTTCGATCACCTCAACATCTTCCGAAAGGCATTTAGGCAGGAAACCTAGCTACAGTCAGGCTATAACCCATAATTAGTCCCTTACACGAAGTCAGTGAAGTGTGCTTTGTAACATACCCGCCGAAGAAGCACAGAGGCGCAGGGGGCGCCCCTGGGCACCAAGAGTGAGGAGGTGGGCAATGGCAACGAAGCCAGCGAGGCCCGCACGGGGGAGGACGGGGGCCAGCTCGGTCCAATTCTGGGCATTAGCGCGCGCATGTATAAGGCAGCTTCATGCATGCCCGACCTGCAAAGGACTCAAAGCTGAAAAAGGGCTCAGTGGTGTTAGCCGTAGTCGCAAGCTTTCTTTAGAGCACTGGGAATGTCACCCCTTCGTGACACGCAGGGGTGAGCAGCATTTCCGGTTATTTGCATAGTTCTTCGGAAGTCACCTCAGGTATGGCCATCAATCATCTTGACATTCTTTTGGGAAGTGGGTCATTGACTTGAGTGTTCTTGGTAAGGGCAAACTTTGAGGCTGGGCCAACATAAACACAAGTAGTGTGATCACCGTCAAGAAAATAGTAGGCGGCTCAACCCCGCAGAGAGCTCGTTATCATTTACCAAAATGAAAAGGACTATGATAGTCGTTCTCCGCAGAAGGAGTTCTGCCCCTGCCTTTCAAGATTGCTTTCCTGGAGTCAGCAAGGATCAGCTTCCCCCGCTCCCGAAGAAGCTGCAGGAGACGATGTAAAGGGAGAGGGGCAACCCGAGACATAGATGCCTGCATTATTTTAAGCTTGGCTCTTCGTTATGCTCGCAGAATACTTCCGGCAAATACTTCATTTCTTTGTTTCTTGCAAAGCTGTGGAATTCTTCCCCTGTTGCAGTTTTTCGCCGCTCTGCACCGAATTCCTACTGCTATGGTGTCTCTTCCTCATGTTCTTGCTGCGGGGGTATGGCTGTGACTTAATGAAACCTAGCATTGCTGCTAATACGTCTACCGGTACTTTTAGTACTAGCATGCCCGCTACATGGCTCCAGTACATCAGATAGATCACTGCAGTGTGCAAAGGGTAGAGACACTGCTAATTGAGGTCTTGTCGGTGCTATTATTGCTGCTGCTGCTGCTGCTGCTGCTGCTGCTGCTGCTGCGGCTGCTGTCGCTGTCGTCGTGGTCGTCGTGGTCGTTGTCGTCGTCGTCGTCGTTGTTGTTGCTGGTGTTGCTTCTTGCTCTTGGTGTTGGTGTTGGTGTTGGTGTTGGTGGGTAAAACCTAGCAGTCGCGGCCGTTTGCAGATGGATGTCCTCATCCATTCTATCCAGGTTTGAGCTTTTGTGCTTCTACTTCATGATTTTTCACGCACAGTGACTGGGCCGTGCAGCCAGGATCTAAATTTGAAAGCACTCTTTCAGGGCTAAACCGAGACGCCATCGTTGCAAGGCAGTAGTAGCAGAATGTTTGTAGCAGTATGCATCCTAGTAGTAGTCAGAATCAGAGCATTCGCCTTGTGGCGAGCGGAATTGCTGTCAAGGAGCGGTTTGACCACCAGCTGGCCAGGATATCTGTGGACGAGGCGTCATGCTGAAGTTGCCGGTTCCTACTTGGGGTTGTATAATAACCTGGCTTCTCAACGGTATGTAAGGAGTGTCCTGAGAAAGCGCTTGACCTGCGAAACGATAAGGAGTAAAAAACGATAAGTTTCAGTCTTGTAGTGCCCGATAAATTAATGAATATATATATATACATGTATATGCATAATCTAGTCTTCTGATGTGCCGATTTATGGCGGCCCCTCAGCACGTGACCAGCACCAGCGTAATAGATATCTTGAGAATGGCCCCAGATCATAGGAACACGAGGGACTCAAAGCGGTAAGAAATCGATACCAAAAATGATAAGTTTGGATTCACAAAAGGCCGTTTTGAAGGACCAGCCCCACCAGCAAGCGCTAACACTACTTGCATTATTTGGCGTACTGAAAGACAGAGTCCATCGATTCCCACTCCATCTCCTACTCTGGCGACAGTCAGAAATACCTGAGTAAGCGTTCTTTTTGTTGACAGCGCCACCCTCATATGCCTTGTGGAAACCATCGAACCCTCCTTTATCCTAAGCCCCTTTCTGAATTGTTCTCAGCCTAATAGGCCAAGCTACGAATGCAACACAACAAGAGAAAGCTTCGGCTTTTTCCTTTTGAAAGGGCCTGGAAATTTCAACGGACGAGGCAAACATCCTCAGTGCAATAAGCATCGAAACATGACGCCGCTGTGCTTCAAACACATCACCCCATCCACGCTAGCCTTCAGTCAAGACTAGTGGCATTCCCTCATAGTCTTGCTGGAACAGACCTTTACTGCACCTTAAGACGCCTGACAACGCAGCACTATTCTCATGATTCAGACCTCGAAGCCATTATCCACAGACCCCAAACCCGAATCCGCTTGACAGCCACCGAATTTCGTGCTCAACACCTACAGCCGCTCAAGTATGGAGACTCGGCTGAGAAAGTCGTTCACCCAACATGTAGAAAACCCAAGGCAGATACTGTGCCTAGCTTAAAGTTGGCGTATCCCGAGTTAGATGGCTGGTTGGAAGGCCACAGGTGTGATGCCTCCGAGCGTAATTCAGCAGCACATGATTCATGACTGCCTCTATCATCACATTCACGTCGAGGCTGTGCTCGTTTTAGCATTCGCTCCGAGGGCTACGCACTTTTTTCAAATGTTCTTCTGCATCTTTCTTGTTGTTGGAAATGAAGGGCCTTTTCCTCATTGCACGGGGCAGCAAGTTCTCGTGGGCTTAAAACCTATACGCTACTTTTTTAGGATCCTTGTGTACCGGAGCTTTTCGCAGATGTACGCCAGCATATGTACGTGCTCTTGATTGAAGACTTTCCTCTTAGATTGCAGTACTTCACGGAATGCACAAGATCAGAACCAGGCCTCAAGGTTAATTAGATTCAAGATACGCTTACAGCGGTGAGGGCCAACGAGAACTGATGGGGCTGATCCCAGACCCAGGGGATGTCAAGCACTTTAGGTTTTGGTCTTGGTTGTTTTGCGCTGGCTTGTTTGTCCTCTGTCAGCCAGAATCACAAGCAAACGTCTAAGAATTTGCATGAAAGGCATGACATGGCATCTCGCCCCACAACATAGTAATTATCTCAGCATGGTGCGTCGGACGGCCAAGGGTGGGGCAAGGGTACACTGAGACCGGATCTACCCAGGTGACGGCGTCTCGGGTCGTAGGTTTGCGGTTTTCTTATGCTTGAGTAAAAGGAGTCGACGCCTTTCTGCCCCTGGGATGAATGATATGTCTATGCCATTGCTTGCGGTTTCAAAACCGGTCATCCTATTCAATCCTCCGCAGCGGACTGCGTTCAATGTGGGCACAGCATGAGGCCCAAACCTGAAAAAGCTTGTAGGGAGCATGGGCAGTCTCAACCTGCTGGCATGAAGTCTATAAATCCGATTGAAGTTTTCGATGCTCCCGCGAGTCCAAAGTATCCCCTAGGGAAACTGCGACTAGATAAGCTTCCATATTGACTACACTACGCTCTTTCCTCGTGACGTGGGCCTGATTGACGAGCCAGCTTGAATTCCCCAAGTTCAACCCCACCTCCAGCCTCCTTCTCTAGTTTACCCATGCTCCGATGACATCCCAGGTGGAGCCAGAGCGGGGCTACATCCGGAAAGATATGAAGCCGGCGGTGGATGAGTTCAAAGCCTGGTTCGAGAACATGATGAAGGCTTGCTTCTGGCGCTTTAATAGCGCAAGCTTTAGAGGTCTGCTTCTGTGCTTGTGGGCCAAATTGCATTCTGTTGCACCTGTTCGGTATATTGTTGGGGAGAATCTTTGGCTCGATGTGGAGCTACACTCAATAAGCGTCCGCCTTGCAAGTGTACGTTGAGTTTTTGGTCTCGTGGGATCTGAGACGATAAAAAATGAGTAGTCGGCCACACCAGGCATGCAACTCATGGAAGCTGGTGGGTACTTGTGATAGACACCTATAAGAACTTGAGCATCACCATGATTCCTGCTGCTGTCGTTTTACCGGCTGTTGTATGATATTGCTACGGTACCTATCTGCTTCAACAATCATTAGAAATTTCAGGACCATGCTGTCTTACACTTGCACATGGGAGCAGGATGAGGAGTGACAGTGGCCTCTCGCTTTGTACTTAATAGCTCAGCACGAGCCTGCTGATATTCCTTCGTACCCACAAGAACTGGCATGCTTGATGAATTGTTGCTTTGTCCCACCGACATGAAGTTCGTATTTCGGCTTTTGCTATTGTATGGATCTTCTAGCACGGCTGAATTCTCGCCTTAGACAAAACGTGGCTTTAGATCTGATACGCTTCTGCCTGCAGAACGATGCAGAGATCCGCTCGTTTGCCAGCATGGATCGCGAAAGCTTGCAGACGCTCGGAAGGTTGAGGGTTACGGTGTAGCACGCGCTACGTAGCTGTTTCCTTTCATGATATTCCTTGCATATCTGTATGTATGCTTGCATGCGCATGCAGAGACACGAGCTTTGATTGTTGATGTTCAAGAATTTACAGATTGAATGCTGCAGCATCCGACTTAATCGGTTTGAACATCTGTCATTCTATGTGGACCACAGTCCTCTTCCATTAAAACTTGCATGCCAGAAAAAAGGCACAGAAGAATTCGTGTAGAGTTACTACGCTCGGCAATAGATTTTCGATGATTTTCGTGCGTTTCAGTAGTGTGGAAAAAGGGAACACTGTTTTTTTTGAAAGATCCGTATCATCCAGTGCAGTAAGTAGGTTTGTGGGGGGTGATGTCGTTTTGCCACTCGAACCCAGGTTGCGTTTGACTGCCCAGGATGCATCGTCGTTGCATGGTAACTGCTATGGCGGAGTTGGCCTTTAGAAGGTGAACATGAAGAGGGACGCTGCATTTGCTCTGATTTGAGTTGTTTTCCATTTTCCATTGATGGGTTCGCGCAGGCTCTGGCGGCTGCGTGGTGCCCAACTAAGGACGCCCGTTTTTTAACCCTCAATGATTGCACTGAGGGCGCAGAAGGGTGATGGTGCTGGGTGCCTCTTTGACTTCACCAAGACAGCACCCTGTCTGTACTGGTTCTTGTCGCGTTTGACAGTTCCAGTGTTCAGGGTCTACAGGCTTTTGAATTCGGAGGTGGGTTGCAAGGTCTAGAGCCAAGGTTTAGTCAATTGAGGGTTAAAGTAAGCTGTATTAGAGGGCTGTGTAGGATTTCACTGCCAGCTGGCCTTTCGCTTGCTGTCGTGGAGTCATGGGTTATGGGCTTTCACCGGTTCTTCAAACCTTTCTTCGCCTTTCGGGGTGGCTTGTATAAAGCTACCAGACACTACAAAGGGAGCTCTCTCCCCCAAGGCCGCTTTTGCTTCGCGAGCCTTGGGTTGAACTTGGGGGGGTTCAGATTGTGAGCCGTACGCTTGGGTACGCTGTGTTGTGGTGGTTTGGTCCAGGGCTTGTGGGGCCCAGTACCTTTCTATGCCTTAGCTTAGCTTGCACCTTGGCGCCTGGCTGTCAAAGCTTGGTTGTCATAATTTCATCATCCTTGCTAGTGCTTTCTGTCATTTTAGCTCTCACCAGCCTCGATTGGCCTGGCGCAAGGCTCCTTCGGGTTTCAAACCACTGGGCAAGCTGCCTCTGTCCGGTGCCTTCGGCTGCAAGTGCATGGCGAATGTCTACAGTGATCAGATGAGCGCATACTGGGGGTAGCTTTGGATCTACTACAGTGCTGGAACAGACCATGAAGGGTGTCTTTTTGGACTGCTTGGAGAAGTGTACACCTACTACAAGGACAAGGATCATGAAAGACGCTTCGTTGGATGGAGTGGGGAGGGCTGAGGAATGTCCCTGAATTATTGACACAGTGCTTGCCAGTTGTCTTGTGATGTCAGTGTTCAACAGTACCTATGTAATCTTCCAGCCTCTACCCAATAGTCCTCCTTGGTGACTCCAGTCTTAAAGCTTCCCGTCAAGCCGTAAGCCGACACAAGCAACTGAAACCTACACGCCAAGTACCTTTGGTTACCTTTGTTCTTCTGGATAGGATTGATACGTGGCCGTTATTGTAATTACTTACCACAGCTCGTATGTGCATGCGAATGCTCAATGTTATCAGGTTCCTTCTCTCTGGTTCTTTCCATACTTGTTTTATCTGTGACGTTATTTAGCTAAGTCGCGCTGTATGGGCCGCAGCCAAATTCGACTTTCTTGCCTGAAGCATAGACCCAAAGCCCGTAACTGTACCCTCAACCACCTAGCATAGGAGCCTGAACGTCTAAGTCTTAGGCACCTTGAGTGCTCGGTTGGTACCCATGCACAGAATCCAGCTGAAAATAGCATGTGCCTGTTCCCTGGGCAGTCATGAGCTACGGGGTGAGCGCCCCCTTCACGGCAAACATCGGGTCGAGGAAGAGCAACGCGTCTTTGTAGCAAGCAGTCTCGTGAAGCCCTGGGTTTTGAGATTTCTTGCTTGCGCGATTTGGGCTCAGGGTCTAAAAGGCCTGGAGTCTGCAGAAGGGTGTGGATAAGAAGAACTGTTCAGGGTATGCTGAGGTTTATAGCTGTGGAGACTGTGAGAGAACTTCTGCTGGGACTGCCAGAAGGCTAAAGTTGTTGGCAGGATTTCTACCTCGTTCATGTCTAGTTTTCCTTGATGAGCTATTCACCAGCAGTCGGCAACCCTGAACCCTAAACCGTGCATGTTCAAGGTGTCGTTCAGGGTTTCGAGTGCGGTTCTCAGTCTAGAGTCTAGGCCCTCCCGCGGTCATGATACAGGATGTTCAGGGTTGATGAGGTTCGTGTCAGCACCCTGTAAGGTTTGATGCAGGTATAATTCCTTTAAACATTACCCCGTCCCGGACAAGCAAGGAACGACATTTCGGAGTGTTGATGGGAACATGCAGGGATAATTGAAGCTTACACAGAGATAGAATACTCCAAACTGAGGTTCAACATCCCTTTCCTTTGAACGTGGGGCTGCTCTGACTGAGGGAACGCCAAACGCCGAAACCCTCGAACCAAAACAATTCCTGTACACCTTCATACGACCTTCTTATGTGAATTTTGCATCTTGCTACAGCCTGAAGGGACCTTGACAATGCCCGACGAAAGGTTGCTCCGTCATTGATCTGCCTTCACTTGGGCGGGGAGGGCAGCGACGTGGGCACTGCTTGCTGGAAGAGGTGGCATGCTTCCGAGCAACAAGCACGTCCAAATTTCCAGGGTATGCAGGATTGCGGGGTACACTTACCATGTCAGGAATGCTCTACCTTCTAGGGTTTCCGAGCGTTATTAGGCGCTAACACTCTAATTCCGAAGCGGGACCCTCAGCCGCAAATGGGGGAGGCCCGATACGTAGTGTCTCCCGCGCATACATGCTTCCTGTAGAACCCCCTATATAAGGGGATCCCATTGCTGAGCCACGCTATGTAACGCTTATACTAAAGACCCTCATAATCCATTGTACATCTGTGAGATCCCGAAGGGACTATTGCGAGAAGCCCTACACCTCATAGAGCCTACGCCCGATGCACTGGACCCTGGACCCTAAAAGCTGAGAGGAACCCTCCACCCAAAAGCCAACATCAGGCTTATGGATGAGCACCTGCTTGATGCCAGCGGCCGGCCCACAGAAGGAGCGGCCCAAAGCCCAACGCATTTTTCACTAACTACTATAAGGGTTTTGGGTTTTGGGGAACGGACAATGACATGAAAGGTACCATGTAAGGGTTCAGGGCTTAGGGCTTTGGGTAGGGAAGGGAGTAACAAATGGAGCATGAATGGCAAACCAATGGCTTACAGGGACATGAAAGACTAAGGATGTCCGGTATACTACATCTACATACCATCTTATCCATCAAGTATGAGTTGGAATTAAGCGTTTCTAACGACCCGACCCACCCCTGAATTTAGCGCAATTGGCGGCCCGACCCGACCTGCACTTGAATTGCAGAACGACTATTCTAAAAAGCCATGGTGTCGACGGTCACGTCGCGATCCTCATGACCGTCCTTTCTTTGGAGCCTCGTCTCCTCGTCGCATGTCAAAAGTGTCAACAGTCACCGGGATGGGGCTGTTGGGTCGCCATCTTCTTAGCTGCCGTTACTGTTGGAGAGTAAAGTGGAGAGGAGAGGAGTAGCGAGTAGCTTGGAGACTAGAGAGGAGACGAGAAGCGGGGAGTGGAGGGGTGGAGCGAGAGGAAAGAGTTGAAAGAGGAGATAGTGGAGAGGGAAGACAGGACAGGCGAGAAAGACAGAGAGGAGAGGAGTGGAGAAGACTGGAGAAGAGCGGAAGGGTGGAGATGAGCATACAAGGGAATAACAGTAGAGGAGTGGACTGGAAAGAGGAGAGAGAGGAGAGAGAGGAGAGGAGGGAGGAGCGGAGTGGAGAGTGCAAAGGAGTGGAGAAGAGTCGAGTGAGGAGAGAGGACACGCCGGTAGCTGGCTGGTGCTTTTGTGTGTTTCTGCTTCTTTGATGTTGCCTTTGATTGCTGGGTGGCAACCAAACTCAGACCGTGCCTGCAGATCCAAACTCTTCAGACCTAAGCCCTGAAACATTAACGCACGCTGTGAAAGCAGAGCGTAGGAGCGTTCTTTGGTTGCAGCACGCCCTTCTTCGCAGAGAGCACCACCGGCAGGTATGTGCCCTGGTGCCTCAAGAAGTCAGTAGTTCAAGTCAATTTTGAAATGTTGGGCACCCTTGAGGACATGTGGTCTATCTTGGAACCCTAAAGCTCTAAACTCTAAACCTCGGGATGAGTTGGAAGTCAATCCTTCAGCTGCCGTCGCCATCTGTTTTCCGGTTTTTCATTTTGCACAAGAAAATGCTTTCGGTGGTGAGTTTGACTAAGCGGCATGAAGCCTGAACACCTTCAAATCCCTGAGCCATGCACAACCCCATAACCCCAAACCCCAGAAATTACAGCGAGCGATACGGGCGCTAGAACTCCGACGCAAGAATGACACATTGGCAGCAGCAAGAACAAAGGGATCCAGAAGAAGTGCTGTTGAAAAAGCAAGGCACATGTCCCAGTATCGCAGCTGCTCGTCCTACACAAGCTGCCATGTATGAAGCAGTCTGAGAGTCTTCTTCCTGTCAGGGGTCTGCAAAGGACTGCATGCAGCATGGTGTGAACTTGGGGAAAGGTTTCGGAGCGGAATCTAAGTCCTCAATGCCTCTGCGTCCCAAGCGGGGTCTCAAGCACAAATCATACCCGAGGTTCCGCGAGCAGTCTTTGCGGGCTACGGGGCGGCAAGGCCGGGCATGGCTTCCTCAGTGCTTCTTGTGAGAGTCTGACGCGTTATGTTGTTATTAATTACAGATGGCGATTCGAAAGTTGTTTGTTGCCGCTGTTGCCTATGTCGTGCAATTACAGTATATGGTGATGATGACGGCTGCCCGACTACTGTGTTCCTGTCCTGATGCTACTTTCTCTCGGGTTGGATTAGTTGTTGTTGTCCAGCATTTCTTGCAGGATGGAATCTGTCTCGAAAGCTGGTCTTTTTGCACCGACGTCAGTGCTGGAACCTGGGCTTTGTCAAATACATTGTGCCCCACTTTCATGAAGTGATTCCGGGGTGCAATCAGGTTTACAGTTAAACCGTTTCTTTAACTTATGAGATCGAGTATACTCTACAGCTTCGAAGGAATTCTCCCTTGTGTTGTAGACGTTAGCAAATTTTTGTGGGCAACAACACACGGCGCTTCAAAGCAATGGCAGACTTTGAAGTATAGCTTCCCTCATCAAGTCAGATGTTGTTCCCACGCAGCCGAATTGTCCAGCTTGGTTTTAAACGATGTTGCAATCTCGTGGCTGGAGGTCAGCGGAACCTGGAGGGAAAGACTGCGGCAGAGTCAGTGCAGGTGGTACCGTGGCTAGTGGAAGCAGCAGCAGCAGCAGCTTCAGCAGCTTTAGCAGGAGGAGGACTCGTAATGATCGTGGTCATCGTCGTGAGCGTCACGGCGGCGGCGGCGGCGGCGGTGGTGGTGGTGCTGCTGCTGTGGCGGTGGTGCAGTGGCAGCAGCGTTTTGTAGTAGGAGGAGCAGCGGCAGAGCCTCAGACCCTCAAACGGCGCCTCGGCGCCTCCGCTTGAGTTGAACTTTGAACAACTACAGAAAGGCCTTGAACACAGAATCTTCCCAAAAGAGTCAAGGAGGGTTCCAACAAGCATAGCTACTCAATTTTTGGCAGCCCACGATGAGCCTACGTTAAAGACCCATAGCCTAACTCTCGCAGCTGTTAGGCCGAGGCTTAATCTTACAACACCCGTGCAAGATCCCAGCCCGATGGATAATTTGCGGAAGCATGCGCAGAAACTTTCAAGCACATATCAAAACCAGGTTGGTGGCAACGAGTATTCTTACTTCAAGAGCGGCGAGGAAGACAATGCCTTTTCGTCCGAGGTTATGGACTGAGCCTTTGATGGATACTACAGGGGAACATAGGAAAGGTGCTGCAGAATAATTTCCCTGCCATCCCCATGTATTCTGCATTTGTTTTGAAAAACTTCAGGCCCGTCTGGTATATAGGGCAGTCTAAGACCGGCGGCTTCACGCATGTGCTTTGGGATCTTGCGGGTTGGGCTGAGACTCACGCGAACCCTGTCGTGAACACCCTGCTCCGTAGAGTCTAGAGTGACGCTCGCACGGGGTGCAGCCCGTTTGCCATTGACATTTCGGATTGCAGCCTCGCATTCGGGGCAGGATCTCCTTCTCGTCATGTGCAGTACGACTGGTGGTACGCAGCAGGTTGTCTTGGCCTTCTAAGCTGCAGGATGTTTGAGTACCAGGGTCGTCATGACACGGACCACTTGTTATGAGATGCCAATTTCTGCCAGAATAATTGGAGAGCAGGAGGACACTGTGATCACCACTTGACTACACAACCCTCGAGGATTTTTTCTGGAAGGGGCATATGAATGACTGTCAGGCATCAAGCTTGAACTTTAGGCCTTTAGGCTTTCTCGAAAAGTGGACTCGCTCATATTCGCATGTGCAACCCTAGGGTAATTGCTTCATGGCCAAAATGACACACACACATCATGGGTCAAACTGCTGGTGTTTCTCTTTGTGCTATTTCGCCTACAAACGTTGGGTACGAGGTCCAGCACATCCTTGGCACCTAGTCCTTTTAGCACTAGTAATACTCTACAACAAGAGGTCCTGAGCTTGGAGTTTCCGAGGCATCCGTCGGCAAATGGAGCGGGCTGACTTCGTAGAGGGGTTCCTGATGACTCACGGCTCCGGTGAAGGCCTTCCTTACAGCTTCGGGCAGTTCAGCTGTAGCTTTTGGGGGGGGATAGGGGGTTTAGGGTTTAGGATATAGGGGGTTCAGGGTTTAGGGATTTAGGGTGTTTAGTGTTTAGGACTTTAGGGCGGCTTGTGAGGTTGAGATGTTCTGATGCACAACTTCCACCGTGTTTTCCTATGTTTACTGTATGTCTCTCATGTGTCAGGCTTGCTGACTTAGTGCCATGAGGTCAGGTATTGCCATTACCATTTATGTTTTCATGTGTAACAAGCAGCATGTGCTGTTGCCACGCTGAACCTTCACCTCAAATGCAGTGGTCCAAGCAAGATATGCACGAGACCCTCAAGTAGTTTATCAGCACCTAGAGAGAACGCTTCAGTACTTGCATCTTGGTAGCAATAGTGGCATTGGAGTCTGGGGCGCACGCCCGGGCTTAGATGTGGTCTCCGCATAGAATAACGACGCGGGGTGTTGGCGGTGAGCCCGGGCGTAAGGGTTCAAAGGATGTGTTGGAACTTCTGGAGCTCACGTCCTGGCTGTGGGCGGGTATGGTTCAGGAAGTAACTGCCACGATCCTCAAGTCTGAAGCATGCAGTCGTACCGGCAAGTGGGGTCATCGGACAAGCCCAAATCCGTAATACATGCTAGATGCTAAGCCTCCACATCCCCAACCGCCGAGCAGTGGAAGCCCTCAAACCTCTAACCCTTCAACCCAACCCAAGAGTTTACATTGCTGACAAGAATCCCGCCAACCCGCCTTGTAGCACCTGCAGGCACCAACAACCTGAACCCCAGGCACGCAAGCCCCTATAGTGCCTCAAACCTTCCTACTTGGAGGGTCAGGGGGGACTTCGTAAGTACAGTAGGCTTATAACTTACAAACTTATAACCTTTATAGCCCAAATCGTAAGCCTAATCATCCCCCTGGTTAGCCTACTTGCTATGTCCCTAAACCCTGAGCCCTGCCTTGCGCAGATTTGCCCACGAGCGGCTTCACGTGCAAGATGCTCACAGAGCTCAGCGTGCAGCTGCTTTGGCTCACATTCCTTCCGCCCATAAGAATTAGGGGTACCTGTAAAAAGGGTTATGGGGATTATACAGGGTCCCTACATGATAAGGATTATAGTATACTAGGGTCTATATGTTCGGGTCACCTTATACTGTCAAACTACCATGTAGAAGTCGCCGTCAATACAGTGCCACTTTGTCTTTGTTGGCATGTTCGGTCAAGCTTTGGTGTGTGTGGCAGATGCAGGCGTTTGTGCTCTTGATTCATTCCGGGTCCCTGAACAGAATGAAAGGCTCATTTCCTGGCAATGTGGTTCATTTTCTGGTGCCCGGTATATAATTAATTCTAGCTTCTGTGAACAACTTCCGGTGACTGGTGTCTTCCTATAGAGCAAAGCAGAATCCCTACCGAGCTTTGTAGAGTGCAGTTGAGCCCCTTGAGTATCGCACAACATCGTGGTACGCTCGGTTCGCAAGGTACGGCAAGACAGCCAAGATGACTTTCACTGGAGTGCCGGACCTGCAGGATCCGTCTATCAAATCTCTTGGTGTTTATCAATTTAGTTGAGGGTTGCTGCTTAGGGGTTACAGGAATACCATTTCATTTACCCGGCGCGCTTGTTGTTGAGTTGCCCGCTGTCTAGGATAGATGCTTCAGGGTTCGGGGATTTCAAGGTCCAAGGGTTGAAGGAGGGTCACTTCTTTGCTGGCTCGAGGGACTTTAGAGACTTCATAACATATGTTGCGCATATGCAGCACATGCCTGGCTTCGTTCTTAAAACCAATTTTGCTTATGGGGCCTGGTTTGTGCTCGAAATCACAATAGACCATACACAGGACTGCAGGGACTTTAAACTTGAAGCCCTGGCTCTCCAAGCTTGTTTGATTTGTCAATCACTTTTTCATGCACCACCAAATTCAAAGGTCAGAGCCTGCATGGACATCAAAAGTCAGTAAGACGACGGCCAACACTCAAACAAAAGCCAGAAAGGCGCTAGTTCTACATACTGTCGAGGTTGAAGAACTTACAATCTTGCCCTGCGTGGTTCCCTGAAGGCTTGGAGGCTGCATCGAGCCAACACTATGACACTGTCCTATACTCACGTGTTGTAACTTTGCCTGTCCCCTTTTTCAATCGCAGTGGTCTACAAAGAGCCTTTCGTGTTTGAAACCTCATACCAACATGAAAGCAGCGTAATTTTGCAGAAGGACCCCCGACAAAAAGGGGCTCTGAAGTTCTTGCCACTCCCAGTATGATTCCCAGGGCAACGATCAATTGCCTTTGGCAGCCTCTGCTTTGCTTTCGCGATCGCTCCTGGAGTACACGGACCTGGCGCCACTGACTGCAGTTAATTTCCCTGCCAAAGTATGTGGAGTTCAACTTTTTACGGTTGTTGTGACAGGGATGACATGGCGAGAACACAGAGTTCTGTTGGATGTGTATGTGGGCTCCACAGGAAGAAGATTGAACTCGCCTGTTGGCAGTCCTAATGATCATAGTAACTCGGCTCGGACTAACGCGTATTCTCGACGCTTTCTGGACTAGCGGCGACATCCAAAATGTAGAGACCCCGCCTGGAGCAATTGTTGCGACGCGGCTAGCTTTAACCTCAAAACTGGAAATCGGGAAAGCGTTGCCTTGAAGTGTAGAGCAGGACGCCAACGGGCTTGTGAGAGCTACACAGGATTCCTATGATGCAGCTGCCTAAGTTTATTCAGTTGACCCACTTTTGAGGACCAGCAAGTGAGGCAACGTCCGGTTTCAGTGTCTCAGGTCTGTTGATGCCCACGGGTACTCAGAGATGTTTGGCAGCTTTGGGGCCCTGTCCGGGGCCGTGAATGAGGTGGTTTGGAAGCGGGGGGTTTCTACACCAGGCAGGCATTCAGATGCACAATGAACTCCGTACGATCTGAATGCCTCAACCACAAATCCACTAGAGGTTCCTGTTCAGAGCCTTGAGGCCCTGCAGACCTTCTGCTCTACCAAGTCCCGACCCCTGGCAAAGGATTCTTTGGCATCAACATAAACTCCCACGGGTTCCTTCCGAGGTCAACTTCTACGATCATGCCGCCCTACCTTCAGTCGCCAAGCCTGGAGATGCTTGGTGGAATTCCAGAATCGTTTTACAACATGTGAGCGCTGGGGCTTGGGGGATCGGAGTGTAAGGATCTCAGGCATTGAGTGTTCAGGGACGTGGACGTGTGGGTTAAGATTGGAGTTCAGGAGCGACCCAATTTTCTGAGATCAAGGATTTCGGGGTGATG